ATTTTTATAATGTGTTAAAAAAGTATGTCAAGTTGATTTGATTTTGATTACATTTGATTTTGGATATAATCCAACAAAATTTTGGTAACTGTAATTAAAATATTTTGAAAAAAAAAAATAGCATAAAAGTTCATTTAAAAAATTACAACAGCTCTTTAGACACAATATGAAGAATTTCCTACGTCACACCAAACTAAAATAAATTTACTCCACCTATGTCCCACCTATGATCAATTTCTATAAATTTAAACAGGTGTTCTCATCACCATATGACTAATAATTCGATAGAAATCATTTTCAATTTTCTCATTTGCACGATGCCACATAAAAAATGAAATCGTTTTCATTTTGTGGTTAATGAATATAAATCAAAAAGTCATTTGATAAGAACCTCCTAATTGTCATAGCTTCGTGTAATTGGTAAATTACAAATACCACTGACATGGAAGTGTGTCGTAATGGTATCTCATTAGCTTATCTACAGACAGTATTATTTTTTCTTCGAAATTATACAAGTACTTAAACATATATTTATGCACTATTAACATTAAAACAAGAATTTTCTACTGCAATAACATGTTGAATGTTGAAGAGATAAGAGTGAATTTAATGGGAGTGATTGATTGTATGTTGTTTTACGTTCCATTCGAGAATTTTTCACTCATGTAGGGCTTCAAATTTATACTTTAACTCGGCACTCAGGGCCATGGAGTAGTGAGGAATCTTTATCGTGCCAACGCCTACTGTGACACGGTTTTTAAGTCTCATCCGAAGGACCCGCAAATTTCACTTCAAAGTGCCGAGCGCTTGGTGAAGGAACAGTTGCTACTTATTTTTTTTTTTATCGACTTAGGTCAGTCACGACAGTTATTTGAACACACGGCCTTCCGATCACGGAGGGAGCGCTCTACCGACGAAGCTACCGTGACGGTCAGAATTTAATGGGAGTTCTGGTAATAAATGCTATAAACACAGAAAAAATACTTGTAGCATAATTTAGGAGAAAATCAATGGTTTTCAATTACTTTTATAATCATGAAAGTTACCAGCAATGCAAAATGTGGAAATTCACTATCAATAATCAGATGAAATAAGGAAACATTGATAACATTTAATGTAAAGTTTCTGAAATTTTAATACTTTTACTTCAAAATGGTTTTCAAAATGAAGAATGGGTATACATGTATGTACAAGTACAGTGTACATGAAGATTACTTAATCCTTCATTGAATATCAGATACACTCAGTTTATCATATTCAATGAAGAGAAGGTATACAATCAATATTTTCAATAATGAATTGCAAACAAAAACAGCGTTAAGCTGCCTTATTTATCATTTCCCAATTAAACTTCCCTAGGATGCATTCAAGTAAACTCTCTATTGTTATGCAATTCCGATCCAATTTTTTTATATAATTTTTGGATAAGCATATGATTAAAAATGATTGCTGAATTAAAAAAACTAAATGTTTTCGTATTCTTTATTAAACTTCCCTATTTGAGAACAAGTATTTCTAAATCGTTCTTATTAGCAATTCATCATTGGTCCACGTTTAAAATATTCATACATCTCGCCCCCAAAATGTCAGTTTCCTTCAATAGCTGATTTATGATTCATTGATATATTTATGAATTATCATAAATCATTCTTATCATATTTAGTAAGCAAGTTTACGTTCTCAGTAATAGCTCTTGAATTTTATCATTTAAAGAAGCACATCAGCATTTCCTCTGAAACACTATTGTTCAATGTCTCATGATTGGAACCTTAAAGAAATTTCTTTCTTTGTTTTATGATAATTGTAAATCCGCAATCGACTTATATTCATGAAATTACTTCAGGATAGAAGCAATGCATTTCAAATCTTCCTGCTTACTTAAAATCGATACTTCGATAAACCTTCTCATATATGCATAGAATTGCATTAATTAAAATTTAAAACTTCAATGAAGAGTGAATTATCATGACTGTCTGTATTAGACTTCCTTGCCTATATGCAGTTGTATATGTGACTGGAATATTTAAGAAAATAATTATCGATTTGCAAAATTTTCCACAACTCAGAGTCATAAACGATAAAAGATGACACTTCATCATTATTGAAAAATGATGAGGGAAAAAGAAATTTCTTAGAAAAAATTGCGAACTTAAAAATTGTGGAGCTTTCTGCCAAAACAATTAATATAACATATTAAGCATGACTTTGCTCCAATCGGCGATATCTTGATTGCAAAATAAATTCCTTGTTTTCCAAAAAGAAGTCCATGGTGATTTAGCGTTCAGAATGAATGTCAAAACAAAAAGTAAAGATGTTCTTATGAAATTAAAAAAATTGTCATATTTCACAAGTTATATATTTATCATTACTAATAATAGTAATAAAAAAATTCAAGCATTTTTTTTTATTAATTTTTCCCTGACGAAGATTTGTGTTTAAAAACAGGATTTACCTATAGTGGTTATAAATTAATGAAATATTTAGATATTTCGGCTTCCTTGTTGGATTTTTTCTTTCTTCCCCGTCTGATTGTTAGACTTATTGTTCAATAAGTGTCCTCCCTATAATCAAACAGCAGTGTGCATTTTATTTAGTGATATTTGGAAATGTCAAATTGTTAATGTTACAGTGATTTATAGATCACTAATGCCATGATGAATATTAATTCGTTAGCAGAGTTTCCATTGGTTTTAGTACCATATGGTAGCGCTGCTGTCCTCTTGTTAGAATTAAAAAACTTCATTGTTTAAAATCTTAATTATACTTAGCATTTTCTCAACTTTTAATATGTTTCATATCAAACATATGAAACATAGGCTTCATATGTTAGCCTTGATGCTCTAAAATGTGTAAATTTGTTATATGAAATATTTAAAGTCCAATCTGATTTACAAATCATTTGCATACCAGATTAAAATTATTTTCATTTGCTTTTCAGTATACATATTGTGTGCCGCTATTGGATGCAACATGTCTTTGATCAAAAGATATGGGGAAACCTCATATTGGATGTTATGACTTTAACTGGCTGATTAATAGATATAATTTCTGCATTTATATTTTTGGACATGAATCTGTGATGAAATCGGTAGCATGGCCAATAAAATTTCAACGTACTTCTGAGATTTCAATGCCACACACACACAGCTGTCAATATTAGAATATGCTATAGAATGTGTTTTAATTGTTGAGTCGTATGCAAAAGATCCCTACATGTTTTTTTTATTCCTTTCCAATAAATCATTTTCATTGTAATTTTATTAAATAATAAGGAGATTGGGTGAACAAGGCGTGCAGAATGCCTATAGCTTCAGATATATAAAAATCATATTCAATTTGTGAATTCAGTATTTATCAATATTAGAGTAAAAGTTTCATTATTGAAATTTATGAACTTATGATAAACATAACTTTTCTGAGGAAAGTTTTCTGGGCAAAAATTATTCTGTTATTTAAAAAAAATACTATAGTAACATGGTGTTCGTGGGGTTCAAACTCTTAGCAATAAAAATCCTGAGTATCATTTTCTTTCGAGACAAGCACGCTAACCACTACACAAGTCCTGATGAAGGGTGGCATTTAAATCATGTTTGTGATATGACCCATGACTAAATGGGCTTCTAGTTTTTCTCGGAAAAATGCGAATGTTGTGTCATAAAGTGTATTTTTAAAGTATAGTGGGTCTTTGCTCCATGTTTTTGTTAATCAAAAAATGTATCTTTTTTACGCAAACTTTGAGGATAAACTTCCAAAAAATGGAGCAAAGACCCACTCATATCGAAAAATCGTGTAACCGTATGAGAAATAAATCCTTTTTCCCCTCTTTAGTGTGTTATGCGATTTCATAGGCAAGTAATTTCAATCTGTGTGAGATTTTTGCAAATTGAGGAGATTTTACATAAGGTATACTTTAATTTTAGATGAAATATCAAAGAAAATTTTGTTATAATTGAGATTTAATTTTACACCTTTATATGTGTTGCACTATAGGCATTTCGCTCGCCTTGTTCGCCCATCTACTTTAACAAGAGGTCCGTGGTTTACACTCAGGTTTACACGTGCAATATCTAACAAGAATTTCGTTTTTCCTGCTTATAACCTTGATCAAACACAATATTAGATTCAAACATCCTAAAATTATCAACTGTCCTTGTTGCATGTAATATTAATGGTTCTTCATATTTATTAATATTGAACTTTGGAAGAAGGAAAAAGAAATTTTTTCTCTTGGGATCTTTACCTTGTAATTGGGACCATAAATGATGCTAATGAAAATCAAACATCAAATTCAAAAACAATGACATCATATATTTATTGACTGGGTTCGAGGGCAACATGTGTTTTGTCGGACCCAAGAACCAAACTGTTTGGTTCGAGGTGTCGACAAAACGCATGTTGCCAGAGAACACATGCAGTTAATAAATTTTTTGTTATACCTTTTTTGAAATACATGTATCTTGTGGCTTCAATTATGTAAATTTCCGTTACCTGCACTAAAACTCGGTCAATTCTGTCACTGTCGATCACCAACGAATTCAGATAAGATTTAGCAGATTCCGTGCACAGTGTAACCTAAGCGGTCCAATATCTCATCGACAGGTCAAATATCTCATTCTGCGGTCAAACATCGATTTTTTTAATAACCGCTCATTAAAATACTGGAAATGTTAGACTTGTTTTAGTATAGATTTATATAGGAAACAATTTTTACAGGTACATGTATAACAAAATGGTATTGTTTCTTTGCTCTCTCTATCCGTCTACTCTATCAACGGTTCAGGAAGTTTTCAAATGTTTAAAGCAAACCTTACTGTACATATAAATTAAACTAATTCATTCAAAATTTGTAAATGATGAACGACACGCATTGCATCACATTGACGGCAAAACATCTAATTATGTGACTTATATCAAGAAAAATTCAGTTCTTTTGTCAAGGAGTTAGATGTAGAGCTTTTATACAAGAGAAACGCAGACTTTGTTTTTGAAATAGTCTTTTATTTCATGCATTACGCATAATAGCCTGACAAATTATATTTTGTTTATATTTTATTCTCCTCTTTTCAGGTTAAGTGATTTTAACCAATCAAATGCCTCCACATCAATGCTTCCAGATGAGGAAGTAGCAGAGATATTACCTCCCCCTTCACCAAGATTACCTGCAAAAAAAAAAAAATAATTTTAAAATTCATTTAAAACAAAATGTTGTACAATACCATTGTTTGTTAATGTACTTCAAATGTGCGAGAAAAAAGTACATATATTGTACACTTTGGGCTTTTTTCCTTTCGATTTTACTGCGAATAAAACTAATGGTTGCAAATTCAAATCATTCTACTAGGCTAGAATTAAAAAAGGTCTAAACCTACCTTTAAATGATCTGGGGTCATCTTCGGAAAATTTCACGTCATTAAATAAGAGAGAACTGTCGTAAGTGACCTTTGATCCACTGAGGTCAAAAGAAGCATTGACCTCTCCTTGAACTTTCAGTGTTATGTTTCCTGCAATAAAATAGATTCAACGATGTCATAAACTGCCTTCTCTTGTTCCCCTTTTTCTATATGCCCTTTGTCTATTTACATGACCTGCGTATCAAAATTGGTAGTTATTGTGTGGGGGTGAATTTTATAGAGTGATGTTTATTGTTTATTATAAGAAATTTGATATCATCTTGATTTTCAATGGTCGAAAAATGAGATGATATGCTGATTAAAGATTCTCCAAAACATGTTTCTTTGTTAAAATTGTACATAAAAGAGTGAACTGAATGCTCTAGGTCTAAAAAATTTTACGAGTAATATCACTAAAATTTAAAATACTACTATCAAAAGATAATAAATAATCCTTTGGGAATTTAACGTAATTTTCATATGTAAAACTTTTTTCCCAAAATTTTCGCTGTGGCCTTCAATTGGACATTTAGATATATAGACGACGTTTTTCATTCAAATGTCAACTCGATATATTCCACAGAACAAAAATTAAAAGAAACCACAAATTATGCCTGATCTGTTTCATATTTGGAAGTTTTACTGACTATAGAAGTTAATGGCCAACTAACAATTAAAATACATATCAATCGTGATGACTTCAGCTTTTTTCATCATCAGCTTCCCCTACGGTAATATTCCAAAACCAACTGCACGTGGTGTTTATGTCTCCCAATCTATTCGGTATGCAAGAGCATGTTCCGAGTACGATCAAATTTTAAACGGAGGCAGGCTACTGACAAATGCTAATAAGATGGCCTTACATGGGTTTCAACGATCGTGTTTAAATAAGCATTTTGCAAATTATGGTCGATATAATGACGTTGTTTTGCAAATACAACCTATCACTGGGTAATAGTTTTACTGACATGTTTCAACTATTTGTTGGGCAATTGTTTTTACACTGGTTTTGACTATGAATTACTCCGTTTACCTGATCAATACAGGAGTCTCACAGCGGGTGTGGCCTGTAGACAGGGGATGCTTACTCCTCCTCGGCACCTGATCCCACCTCTGGTGTTTCTAGAGAGTCCGTGTTTATGCCTTGTTTATAGATTTGCATTGTTTACAAGGTTTATGAGATCGCTCACTGTTCGTTTTCTTCACCTTTTTCATTATTGATGGAGAATGATTATGATTGCAAATAAGTTGATGAACCAGAGAATTGAATTTAAGAAACAGGTGAAAACTTTTGTATAGGCTTATATGTTAAATTGTGCTTTTTTCCTTATTAAATTCTGTTCACTTTTACATGTTTCATTATATCATTATAATAATAAGAAAAGAAGATTTTGAGATGGGAAAGGTTAAACCCATTTCAGCTGTTTTAAATTTAATTTGGAAAGGGTGTCCGTTTTAATGTAGACAAAGCAAGTATCCATCTTCGTGTCATCTAAAGCGTTTATTACTGTATATAGGGATTGATTGATTGATTGTATGTTGTTTTACGTCCCGTTCGAGAATTTTTCACTCATATAAAGACTTCACCATATACTGGTGAAAGGCTTGAAATTTAGACCTTTACTCGGCACCCAGGGCCATTGAGCAGTGACGGTTCTTTATCGTGCCAACGCCTACCGTGACACGGGGCCTCTGTTTTTAAGGTCTCATCCGAAGGACCCGCAACTTTCACTTCAAAGTGCCGAGAGCGCTTGGCGAAGGAACAGTTGCTACCTACTTTTTATTGACTTAGGTCAGTCGCAGCCGTGATTCGAACACACGACCATCCGATCACGGAGCGAGCGCTCTACCGACTGAGCTACCGTGACGGTTTATATATGGGGAAATGACTAACGTGGAGTAAATGTTTGCTATGATTGTGCTCTTGATAAAATCACAAATTCAAAAAAGCAGTGAAAAAATAACAGGTATACATGTACGATTTTGAAAAGAATCTCTTCTGTGTTGAAGGCAATCTATGTTTGCGGGTCGGTGAATTCAAAAAGTCACTGTTAGGCATGGAAAGAAGAATAAGCGAAATTATAAATAAAAAAAATTATAAAAATATTTTCAGATTTGATTTTGACTTGTATTTCATTTTTCCTAATTCAAAATATAACACTAAAGAAACATTAACATTTTTCTATATTGACCACATTTTTTTTTTTTTTTTTTTTTTTTTTGTGATCTACAAACATGACCTGTGCAGCATAAGATCCAATTCCTATCTAAGTTCCATAATTTCTTCAACAAACTGACATTTAAATACCCAAATAGCTCAACTGACAATTTATTTTAGCTGAGATCTGTTTGCTGCATTTTGCATGGTCCCAGAAATTTTCTAGTGCTCTTAGCTCTTAAAGATAACTTTGAAGAAAAACATAAACATCTGACCATGTACATGTACTCCATTGCAGAATGAAATGTCATTCTTTGAGCTGACCCACATTTTTAAACTGTGAGTAAAGGACAAAAATATTCAATACTAGATCACATAATGATGGAGACAAGACAAATTATAGTAAAGGTGTTGGTCCTCCCTTGCACAGATCTGGACCCCCATCAGTCACCATCAACAAAAACTGCTGACAAAACACATGACAAAGTTAATCCTGAACATGTTACCTATCACTATGGATGATGGATTTTCTGTATTAAGATATATCCTTCTCTCTAATATTTCTAGGTAAAATTACGCAAACGGTTCCCACACTTTAATACAGATTTAGAAACTTACTCTATTACTCACACTTACGTAAGTATAAGTCTGGACAATTTTACATATTGCATTTTTTAAAGTAGTAAACAAAATTTGAGGTTAATGACTTGCATAGCTAATGATATTACTAACAGGTCAATAAAGATGGAGGGGTTATCTACCTTTAGAATTATGTTAATATAATTGAAAAATAATAGGTAATTTTTATTGCAAAATAGGGAAATAAAAATTATTCTACTTCTGATCATCCGAGGATATTGTTTGTTTGCTTTTTTCACTAACGATTCTGTTAGTTTATAGATCCATATAAAATGATCTTATTTCCATCAGAATTGAAAGCCAAATAAAAATCAAAGAATTCTTAGATACATACAATGTGTAGTACAAATAAAATTTTATAGTCTTTTACGACTAGAAAAGGATAAGATTTTTTAATTAAAAAAGTAACAAAGGGATCCAAAGCTTTACAAAGAAATGTAAATTTCAAAATCTCCTCATATCAAGAACTTTGGGGCTGCAGAATGTTAAACTCAGTTATAAGCATTCTCTTGATGTGCTATATGCTCTTATTCAAATTATGATCCCTGGGACATTTGCAATACATAACAATTGAACTCTTCAAATTTGAGCAATTCATTTTTCTTAATTGAATAGCTGATATCACCAACTGCAATATTTCAGTAAGTTGTATAATTTATCTGTATTAAAGGTATCAATACTTATTCAACTACAGAACATCACACTTTAAATTGATTTTTGTTTAAAAAAAAAGAAGGTCCTACTGCTAAAATGAGTTGATATCAAGAATTCAAATAAGTGATACATGTATCATCTATTTGAATAATTAGATATCATCTAATATATGAACTGTTGCTGTCACTTCTTTGATTAGGTGATATAACATATTCATAAAATTTGCAACAAAAGATACAGATACATTTAAATAATTGAATAATCAGTGATAAATCACCTATTCGAATCATGTATCTATCAATGCTCCCTGCCAGTGGATAGTAACAATCATGCTTTTTTCAGACAATTCCATTTCTCAATGAAAGAGCTAGGGTAAAATAATGACAACTTTTTTTTTTCAATCTGCAACAGTTACTATTAATTTTTTAGACTGAGAAAACATTCTACATAAACAAACAATTGTATATATGATTTGTGGAGATAAATATTCATGAGTAAAAGAAGGTTCCAAACTTGCAGATATTTCTCATACAAGGATAAGAGATGGTGTTCAACATTTACCAAAGAAATGACCTTCAGTTCAGACAAACCTGTATTTGTTGTAATGGCTATGTTTTCTGGCTTTGTTATGTACAGATCTGTGTTTCCTTCATTGACAGCTCCATTAAAGTCCCCCTCTAATCCATCTATAAAAAAAAATCTTATTATAAGTAAGATTTTTAGCCCTGGTTTTTGAAAGTCTATTTATTTAATAAAATTAATTATGTACAGATCATGTTACAATCCTCTATAAACTCTACGTATTCCTTGAAAACTTCCAAAAAATGCCAAACTAGGTGTTTTAACATGGCCTTGTTGTTATTGAGAAGATTTTTAAAGATTATTTTCTATTCCTCCTATTTAAAACTCTGATTCTTTATTGTGGCTCTACCACACCCCCTGAGACCATGATTTTAACAAACTTGAATCTACACTTTCTGAAGATGCTTACATGTTATCATCATTAATCATGTCCATGTTCTTGAAAAGAAGATATTTAAAGATTTTTTCTACACAGTTCCATGTAAAACTTTGATCCTTTATTGTGGCCCCATCCAACCCACTGGGGCCATCATTTGGACAAACTTGTATCCACATTATCTCAGAATGCTTGCATAGTAATATCACTAAATCATGGCTTTCTGTGCTTGAAGACTTTTATATTTTTCCCTATATATTTCTATGTAAAAATGTGGCCCAACTCAACACCCAGAGGCCATGATTTAAACAAAATCGAATATACACTATATGTCAGGAAGCTTTCACTTGCATTTCATATTTTTTGGTCCAGTGGTTCTTGAGAAGAATTTGAAAGACATCTACCCTCTATTTTGCATTTTCTTGATTATCTCCCTTTTCAATATGTGGTCCTTCATTTGAATATCCCTGAATCCCTTTTACCCAAAGATGCTTTGTGCTGAGTTTAGTTGAAATTAGTCCAGTGGTTCTTGCAAAGAAGTTTAAAAAGTGAAATGACAGATGGACGACAGACAAACTTCAAACAGAAAAGCTCACTTTAGCCTTTGACTCAGTTGATTTAAATAAAGATATAGCTTTTAACATTATGTACTGTAGAGGGCTCAACATAAATGCTTGTCTGCTTGTCTGGTACCAGTGAAAAATTCATTTATTGCATACTACTTTCAATTTTAAATTGCAAAAGGCATGGATCTTATGAAGTTTGGATTCTCCAAATTGAGCGGTTTCGCCTTTGAACATTTATGTTGTTGTCAGGACAGAAAGTCTAGATAAAATTTTGTTTTAATTATGTGTTTGTTTTATTTATCAATAAGATCACAAATCAATCAAGCACCTATATAATGGACTTTATTTTAAGTTGACAATATTAGATCTTTATTGAAAAATTTTCAGACAAGTGAAGTTGAAGTTCGGACAAGTAAATGTCTTGGTCACTTGTCCGAATGGACAAGTAGGAAAAAAAGTTAATGTAGATCCCTGCTGTATATATACTAGTATGAATTAACTAAAATCAAAGGTATCAAAATGACTAAATTTAAACATTTACCAATTTTGAGATCCCCAGAATTAACCTTGACCTCAGTTTTACCATGGCAGTTATTAAGGCTGATATTTCCAGTGTTGCTATGGAAACTATTGTTCTCCCCATACACCGAGGTTGCAGAAATGCTTCCATTGTCTGTTTGACACTGAATAGTCAATCCCTGTAGTCTCTCTGCAGAAATGTTCTGCAGTAAAAAATTCAAATGGTATTCAGTTTTTGAGTAATACAGTAAAACTTGTCTAATCTGGACACCACTGGTTCTAAAGAAATTGGCCAGTTTAGACAACATGCCGGATTAGACAACATTTCAATCAACTGAATTAACTAGAAGGGACTTGAAGCTGACGTCGTATTAGGCAAGATTTTGGAATACACAACACCCAGATTAAACAAGTTTCACTGTATATTAAAGTTCTATCACATGTACCAATTGCCACAAAAATGGCTCCCATGAACTTCAAATTTTACACCGATTTAAACATTTGAAACATTTAACTGAAAAAAATGCTTCAAAAGTATGTCATTAGAAATATACATAAGATCACCCTGTTGTGTTCAGTTACCATGGTTACTGTGTAATCATTATCAATAAATAACCTGAAAGGGATGTTATACAAAGTGCTGTGCTGTTTGTTTGTTGACCTACCCCTTGTCCTTTAATGGTGATCTTGGAATTCCCCTGTAGAAGTTTCTCACTTGTGACATCACAATCTGTCCCCTCCACCTCCACAGTACCACACTAAAACATTAAATGTTCATCTTTATGATCTTACATGTATATACATCATATAATTTAAATTAATTTATAGTTCATAGATATGTACCACAAATCATGATTCTGTGGCAAAAGGTCATGTTTGGGGTTTTTTCTGATCATTTTAACAATGACTAATTTTAGTTCGAAAATATAGGTAGCTATATAAAAAAAAAACAGTTACAGGAGTATGCTTTCATTCCATTTACTGGCGTTTAGTTTTAAATTTTATATTGTCAGTGATTGTGCACATTTTTAGGTCATTTTTGAGGGATTTGCCATTGACCCTCTTATAAGTTGCTACAACTTTTGATAGAATCAGTTGACAATTTCAGATCAATAATCTTATGTTTTTTACCTGTGTTTCAAATAATATGTTGGGAAATGACACCAATATTTTTTTCTTTATTATTCTCAACAAATCAGTTTCATATCAATACTTAAATGTATTCAACAAATATTTTGGGAAATTAGACTGATATTTAATCTTTCATTCTCTACATATCAATTTCATACGATAATCATCAGAGTTCTTAGAAAAACACTACATGTACCATTTGCTGTGGAGAAAAAAAAATATGTTTCTAGGACTCGCCTATAAGTCGGACATAGTGTTTGGGGCCAAAATCTTACTCCCCAAAATCTGTCTTATAGGCGAGTATATACGGTACCTTAATATTCTTTAGAGTACAGATTGACTGTGTTGATGCTGCTCTCTCGGACTTTGATTTGACTGTGATCTTCTCACTCTCCATCTTTTCAATATGAGTTCTACATCCTCTAGCTGTTACATCAAGATCTATGTCAATATAATTTAAATATAAAACTGTGCTGTTCAGTGCTAAATGATGAAAAAGAAAAATACTGACATCTTTTTTCATGCCTAAGAAACATACACATGTATACATGCTTGTAATATTGGTTAATTTCCTAATTTATTTCAAATTTAATAATTTCAAAATTGACTTTGTTTGATGTTTTAAACTTAAAAAGTCAAAAAAATGGCTTTACAAGTCTGTGTAAAATTCACAATTAATATGTAAAATATAGACGACTAGTAACTACCAACCAAATTTCATGGGTAATTGAACAACACATTTGACAGGGTATTCCACCTTAGAATTAAAGTGCCCTTTTGCCGTAAATTCTTTCTTATCTTTAAAGTTCACATTAAATGTATAGCACTGCCTCAGAGCCACTAATACAGAAGAATCCACCTTTTCATCAGGTTGTAGATCATAAAATAATTTTACAAACATTTTGTTCATTTCTGGATACTTGTCTGGATTCAGTGACTCAATGTGAATGTCAAACGGTACATCAATATAGAGTTTGCCAAACTTGTCAGTAGCCATGAATTTCCCTTCTAAAAATCCTGGATTGGCGTTTGATATTGTGAAACTTTGAGTATTTTCGGGGGTTTCGTTCGTTGGAGAGGTACTGCAACATGCTTGGAATCTCTTCCTCAAACACTGTTTAAAAGTCCTTGTCAGCAAAGATTTTGAAATCTGTGGAACTTTCAGATATATCTTTGACATAATTCCACTCTCTGTTTTGACTTAAATGATAGAATTTAAAAGATAACGGCACAAAATAAATCCTTTAAAATGTTTCGTAATTTGTGGTCACCCCCAGAGAAAACTGGAATGTCGATCCCGACTTATAATCCTGTTTTGGGTTTTATCGATTTTTAAAGTTTTGCTCCAGTTGATTTCTTTTGTGAAATAATACACGTTGTCAATCATGCACATTCTAAAAAAAACAAAAGAGATATTGTCAAAAAGAAAACACAGGACTTAGTGTATGTTTGAATTTTTTTTTCTCAGTGAACAGGTGAAAAGCAGAATTGTTCATGGATTTAGCTGACAGGGATCCAAATGAATTAAATTCACATGTGAAGGTATTGATTGATCTGAATTGTCTTGATTTTATCAATCTATAACATACATACACGTAAATTAGATTTACACAATAATTCTACTTTTTTCAATTAAAGGAACACCAGCTAAGGAAGTACAGTATTTGAATAAAAATAACGTTACATTACTCTTCCCCGCATCTAATGATATATATCTATAGGTCTGTGATTCAGAGAGAGAGAAAGAGAGAGATAGAGAGATTATCAGGTTACTACATAAACTCAAGACAACTAAAATTAGGAGGACCCCCTCCCTCGGGATCCGCCTATGCAAAAAAAATCTATATAGATTTTTTTTTATTATTTTAATCATTGTTAATATTTGGTTATTTTTCTCCATGTTTTCATAATAATGACATATACAAATTTCCACATTTGTTGTATTTCAGGTAGAATTTGATTTTTTTTATTTTAATATTTGGTTCATTTTCGCCGTATGTCCATAATAATGACATAAACAATGTTTCACATTTGTTGCATTTCAGGTAGAATTTGATGAAGTGATAGCAGAACCCAGTGGTGCACACAGCTATGACTGTTGCTGGGAAAACTGCACCTACACCTGTTTTAACTGCAGTAAGAGCTGTATGTACAAACTCCTTACCACTCTGCTGTCCTGCCTGATCGCCCCCTTCTTTGGCTGGGCGTTCGCCGTCCTCACCTTCTTTATGATATGGATCGCCACTCCAATGTTTCGCGGGTGTAGTATTGTGATGGGGTGCTGTCAGATGTTCGTGGGGACTTCTACCATGTGTCTGTGTGCCCCGATTTTTGACGCAGTCGGTCTGGTTCTTTCCAGGATCCAAGTGGGGATAGAAACGTTAAAAATGTAAAGATGCAGATACATGTATTTATTGTATATCAGATATTCCCCAGACGTACAAACAATAATAATTTAATCTATATCATATGACACGTATACTTTCAATGTTTGTATATAAGTCTGTGGTTAAAAATGATATAAATAAAAAAAGATGAAAAAAATGTCTTTCTTTCTTTTTTCTCTCATAAAATAATGATAATTAAAAAAAATACATATAATAATGTATTATAAGAAAACTGAGCAACGATTATAACTAAAATAAAACAAGAAATATTACTTTCTGTGGTGTCATTACAATTTAAAGATCATCGATGTACATATGACAACTATATATAAGCTATTATAAGTCTAAAATTTTCTTTTTTTAAAAAATTGCTTCAGATACAGGCGCATAGCTACATGGGTGGGTCATTGATGGCCGTATCCCTATCATTTTTGCCATTCATTATATATTCAGTTACACAGACAATACATTACGCTAGAAAAACCAGTAACAGCTAATTCTGGGTTGTATATCCCCTCAAATCTTTTTTTTTCAGGTTTAGTTGGGCACCCTCCGACTGAAATTACTTCCTAAGATATATTTTACTATAGAAAAAGACGTTAATGGCAACCTTACAACAAAACTTTATGATAAACGTGATGACTTCAACTTTTCTTTCGTCAACTTCCCTTACTTATGTTGCAATATAACCTTATCACCTGCATGTGGGGTTTATGTCTCCCATTTGATTCGATACGCAATAGCGAACAGTTTCTAAAACGAAGCAAGCTATTGACAAGCAAGATGATGAAACAAGAATATCAACAGTCTCGTTTAAATTAAGTCATCATTTCGCAAGTTCTGTCGATACAATGACGTTGTCAGCAAATACATTCTACCATGAAGTCGAACGCTGACTGAGCTTTTTCATACTAATGCCATTGTTAGCCCATTTTTTACACACTGAATTGTCTACGGATTTTTCCACTTGAAATCCCGATCACGACGTCGAGGAGCATACAGCGGTATTACCTGTCGACAGGAGATGCTTACTCCTCCATGGCATCTAATCCCATGCATCTCTGGTGTTTTTAGAGGTTCGTGTTTTCTCTGCTCCCAAATTGTATTGTTTCAATAGACTTTTGAGCTTGATTACTATTCGTTTTCTCCAAGTTCCATGAACACTCTATAGTAGAGTACATCTTAATTTTTTTGTATGTTACATGTACGTCTTGAAGTGAATAAGATTTTTAAGCCAATTAGGAATCATATTTGCATATTCCTTAATTTCCATAAATGTCCAATTAAAGCATACGTTCTCAGTCCCGTATACGTAGGAAGCAATTTCAGTTGGGGGGGGGGGCACAACCGGCCAAACATCACCAGACGTATTCATTGAGGGTCACCGCACGACGTCCATAAAGCTCTGCTTTCTATAGTATACTTTATATCGGCAAAATTATTGGGAGGGGACATGCTGTTCTATCTCTGTTCAAAAACTATTTGAAAGCAGGCATGAAGTAGGTTTGGGGGGGGGGGGGTAGGGGGGATAGGGATAGAGGGTTGAGCACCTCTTTTCCCGCACATAATATTATTTTACTGCATGTCCATGTGCTTAGTATGAAAATATTCATTGAAAGGCCAGTTGCCCTTTTCTTTTTAATACAGCATGGTAAAATTCCCCCAAAATTCCCTACTTAAGGTATTGTATGAAGAATTTTTCCCAGTCAAAAAAGTTGGACCCCCACCCCCAATATCTGGAAATTGGAGAATTTTCCTTTTTTTTCCTTGTCAAAGATTTTTCGTGCAAGTTGTTAATTATTTTTCTGCCCCACTATCCCCTTTCCAAATCGATACTAATTAAGTGACTGGGAACACAGAGCCCCGTAGCAACGGTTTCAAAAGTGGGGGCCAAATTTCCAAAAAATCTAACAAGAAAAAAAACTAATTAACTGTCCAAATTCTGAAATTTGCCATTTGCCAGTGCTCTACCTTGCAGCGACAAAAAGTTAGGGGGGCATCCAAAGGAAAATTTACTATAGCAAAATAATATACTCAGAAAAAAGCGGGGGTCGCCCCCTGCCCCCCCCCCTTCCTTCCGCGTTCGACAGCCCTGGGAAATATAATATCATCAAAAATCCCTCCTTTTTTCGCCTTTAATTTTTCATAACTTCCCGCCAATTGTCGCATTTCGGAACCCCTCCAATTTTTTCCCTTGACCCGGAAGTGATGCACCATAATCAGAACATGGAGTACTGCTAGTTGATCATGGAAAACGAGTCAAACGATGTTGTGTTGAATTTTCACGATAGTCTGCTGTATAAAGCTGATGTCAGCTTACTAGACGACCAAAAATGGTTGAATGACAAACTTTTGGGATTTTGCTTCGAGTAAGTATAATCTACGCCGTTTGTCTCTTGGAAACTTTTCGAGTGACCTTACAGATCATTTGGGCTCTGTGTTGACTGAGCACTCATGCATGACGAGATTTATGAATGACGGGTAACGTTACCTTATTTACACTTGATATCTTGGCTTATTTTACGACAATTCATATACATTGTACCTGTGACTCTGTTCATTAAGAGAGGGCAAACGTTTTTGAGAGTAAACACCTTTAATTTGGGTGGGTTAACTTAAACAGCTGCTGTGATATGGACAGTGAATTTTAAATTCCTCATCATTTGACAGCTACATGTTTCTTGTCATTTTACATGTGTTTTTTTAAGGCACATTACTGCTCTTTTACCGGTACTTATTCTTTTTTGAGAACAATCAAATGAAGACTTCTTAAAATCTATTGCATCATCTTTCATCATGTTCACGATTTAATTTCTTGTTGCATGCAGGTTATTACACAATTAACCTTCTTCACTGTCTATATAATGTAGATCTATTTCATTTGGACAAATAAGGGAGCTTCAAGTACCACCATGTGTTTGGAATAGTTTTAAGTACTTCAATGGACCTTTTGTCCATGTTGTCAGCACATTTTTATTTTTTGTCTCAATTTTCTTGAGGACAGTGACTTCATTAAATTTTCTCACCATTAAATATTCTCACCACAAACAATATCACATATCTGTGTAAATACTGAAAGCAGGGTATTACACTGAATGATAGTAGCACCACCCATGGGTACACCAGACCCTTTAATTGCATGCCTATTCTCCTCTCTCTAGAGAAGTGGCTGGGAATAGTCTATGTCTTACCCACTTTCTACAATTAATCATGCACTGTGTTTCTAATGCCTTTTCATCCATCACGTACTGGAATCATGGGAAAAAATAAAATCAGGAAAGCAATCCTCTCACCATAATTGATCACAAATAGCCTAGCTTCCACAAAATACTTGCTTCAACAGAATCCTTTAGCATCTGAATTAATTTAATAGTGTTCACAACAGCTTTCCAAGCAAATAAATTACACCTTATGCCATTTTGTCATCTGTTAGTGCACTATTTTTATATAACTGTCCATCTCAAATGTATATATAAGAAATAAATAAGATTAAAAACTTCACTGGGAAATAAAGTGTGTTGGTAAGTAATTAAATCTGATGAGAGGCCCTTTGGGCTGGCTGCACAGGATTTGATCACATGATTAACCCACTTCATTTCCAAGTGAAGTTTTCAAAAATGTTATTTATTTATGAAATAAGACTATTCATAACATCCCCCTCCCCCACCACAGGCACTTGTTTCATATATGGGGCACCCCTACTTATTAGAAGGGGTGCCTCGTAAACGAAACAAGTGCCTGTGTCCCCCACCCCCTTTTTTGGATTCAAATTCAGGTCATGACCAACCCACTTAATTTCCCAGTGTTTTTTTTAATCTTTCTTCCCATTTTATTTCATAGAATCTTTATTAGACCATAGCATCCTTAGACATAGCAAATGAAAAGGTATGTTAATTACAATGATTACATGTATGCATAACAGGTACATGCAGTATGCTTTGTTTTCTCTCATTTCTAGGTATTTTGAAAGAGAGAAGTTTAACCATTCTGCTGACAAACTTAGCTTAATAAATCCTGATGTTGCACAGTGTATCAAGCTTCTTCCTAGTAAGTATAATTTTCTTCTGGGTTTGTCTGGTAACCTTTAAAGTTATTACAAATATAATGTATAAACATTGTATTAATTAACATCATGAACATAGGTTCATTTTGATAAATTTAGATATTGTCAAGAAGCTTAAGCATTATGTAGATGATGTAAACTGTGAAGTTAATTTTTTCTACGTTTTTCTTTTCTTTTTATATTTTACGTGGTGAGGTGGGGGGGGGGGGGGCTTATTTGGCTTAATTTTGCAAATTTGGGGTATCTTGTAGTAGCTTGTGCACATAATTTTGATACCAATTAGCATGGGTATATAAACATGCAATCATATAAATTAATTTTTTTTAATTTTACTTTTTATTGGGGGGAGGAGGAGGGGGGGGGGGGGGGATTACAGCCTCTTCCTTTATATTGTGAGATATACAAAGATACAAAATGTATATCTAAATACAGTGGCCTACAAATAACATGGTATCACTGTGCTGCAGTTTGTCTACATCAGATAATTGCTCTGGAAACTTTGTCCTTCATTTGTGACAAGTGGGAAGGGGTCAACTAGTGCAGAATTTGCTGCTAAGCTAGATGAAAGCTATGTTGTACATGTATTATAAATCAAGTCTTATCAGGATTGATTTAAAACATGCATTGAATGCTTCTCGGCCATAAAGAAAAAAAATATATAAAATGGGTGTTTTAACTTTACCTCAGACAGGTGTGACAAAGGTTTTTACATTTTGTAATGGGTGGCAGTAAAAAGGCAAAAAAAAAAAAAAAAAAAAAAAAATTAAAATCTAAATAATAATTTTCTGTAATTTTAAAAATGTTTTTTTTATCAATTGAACATTTTATAAGCATATGATAAAGAGCTATCAAGATAATTTGTACCTGTACCTTAAATTTGTGCTTTTACTGTGAGTTTTACTTTAAGGTGACCAGTTAGGAGAGTTCCTGGAGCCTTTGAATCTCCCCTCAAAGCAGTATGTCTTCCTTCCAGTCAATGACAATTCACAGTGTGAACAGACTGGTGGATCTCACTGGTGTGTGAATCACTTATCCTTTTAAACTTTTCACACAATAATGCATAAGTAACATAATAAGTAATATACTAAATTTCATTTTTTTCATTATCACAAAACAACTCCCACATGAGTGAAAAGTTTGGCAATCAGATTCCTCAATTTATATGTTAAACTTAAAATAATATATTGTCTAGATCTACATGCAGAGCAGCCAAAATTGATAATTTGGCCTGTGATTTGAGTGTCTAAAATACACTATACGATTTCTCTATTTATTCATCAGATTTCTGTTTTTCTCAGTCAGAAGTTTGAAATACCAGAATTTTTATACCTATTTGTCTTCAGCTTTTATTATATAATAAGAAAAAGTCAAAGTCCTTACAGCACTTGCTCGACTATAATGTCTGTTTATAGTAGGCATGCAGATTTGCAATCTTAATCATTTTCATGTTTTAATCAATCTAAACAAAGTGGAAAAAAATCTCTAGTGGCCAGGGGTCTAGGCAGCCCCTGCCCATCTCCTTCTTATTTTTCAATTTAAGATGTTGGCAGCTCGATCTATATGTGCCTGTTATCAGTGATATCCTTTTCAGGAGTCTACTGGTGTACATAAGAAGTCGACAGGAGTTCAGACATTATGATTCCAGTAAACACACAAACCAAGAGGAAGCCAAGAGATTGGCTTATAAACTACAACCATATGTCCTAGGTATGCTCTATTTCTTCATTGACTTACAAAGCTCAAAATATGCCTAGCTTGATAAAGGGAAAATAAAAAAGAAGAAAAGCAAATACAATGTATGTATATAGAATCCAATGAAATTAAAGATGGCAGCTTTTATTTCAATAATTAGAGGGTATGCTGATTAATTTATAAAGATTCTAAATCTCTTGTATAGAGGAAAACATGTTATAGAGCTAATTTTCAGATACTTATATTTTTAAAATAATTATTATACAAGTAATTCACACAAAGAGCATTTGATAAATACAATTATAATGAAACTTTTTTCCCCTTTCTTAGCTCCCATGGGTCGCATGAAATTCCTGGAAATGGATGGACCCCAGCAAAATAACTGTGAGTGTACAAAGTATATTTAGCATTACCAAGATCACAAATACGTATTTCATGAATCCATCAATGCAGAAGTAGATCAATTTCAAAGATAGAAAACAAGTAACTGAGTATACAGTATTTATTTTAAGTGATTCACATGTACATGAAACCTGCTGAAGATACCCGTATATACGTTAATTCAATACATGTTTAGTTTTATCGGAGAAATCAAGTTTTTCAAGATAAACATGATAAAGGAAGTATTTTATTAACTCTCCACACAGTGACATTTCTACCATAACCTTGTATTTTAAAGAAGAGTCAATTCCTGTTCCTCAGATTGGTTTTGACTTTTTTTATGTAAAAATTTGAAAATGCAGGATTTTTGAAGGATTTTCAGATTTTTATTTATTTATTTACTAGCTTTTTAAATTATTTTTATTATTTATTTTAAATACTGTAGACGAACTTTCATTTTTTCAGTGTGGGATTAATATACGCTATGTACCCAGTCACAAATTTCCAGCAGAAATTTGTCACAGCTTAGTTACATGTATGCATATAATTATATAAGACATATAGTAGTGATAAGAAATCAGTGTAATTTTTTAACCACAGATTGAACAGAAATTATTATTCCATGGAATTATGACCCGGCATAAAAAAAGTACATTTCGTTTTACAGTATCTATGTTGACAATGAATAAAAAATGGTATTTCTTGCATCTATTCAGCATACGACTGTGGAGTGTTTGTCATAGCTACAGCTGAACATTTGTGTAAAGAGCTTTGTGAGGGATATAGTATACCATTGAATGACATAGTCACCCCAAAAACAGTCACAGAGACCCGGCGAAAGATTAAAGACCTGATTTATCAAACGGCCAAGGAGTATTCAGGGAGCTGAATATGAAGTAGGGTTAAATATAATGAATGTAACAATTGAAATGCATTGTTTAAACTGAGGCATTTAATTTCCATCTGGTCAAAAAATTGTTATTTTTGTATGTTTTGTTTAAATATCTAAAACTTTAATTTACCTAATGCTAGGATTAATAGACAGAAAAAAATTTAAAGTGTTTATAGTATGTTGCTCTGTAATCAATGAGGAAATGTTCGTAGTTTTCAGTCAATGAGTTGTTTTCTTAGAAAATGACATTCTGCCATGCTGAAAAGCTGTAAGGGAATAGATATTTCAATTCTCTTTTAACTTTCTCGCTTTGAAAATTTTCATTGATAAGAAAATACACAGTGAATTTACCATCACAACATATTAAACCACATATAATAAATTGGTAGTACATGTACTTGTGTGCATTGTTAAAAATTAAAAATGGCAGATTCATAAAAGTAAACTTGTACCAGTAATATATACTGTAGGCCTAGATACATGTATTAGTGATTGACTTTCAAGTAGGTTAGTGATCCAAACTCATTTTCTCAGGTAGATTGAAGAATGTCTGGAAAAGAAATGGCAAGGGGGAATGCCCCTCTGCTTATTGAAATTAATGTAACTTGACTGAATTTTGACATTTTTTATCAGAAAGAAGGACTAAAAACAAAAGTCAAGCAGATTTTGTATTCTGTAAATCACTTTTTATTAGCAAGACTTTTTTTTCGCATAATTATGCAAGACCGTCTAATTGCAAAAATTTCATTCTCACGTAATTTATATGATTATTAAAGATTATATGAAACAATATTTACAAAACTTTGTGAAAATACTTGCTCACAAAAATATGCTGTTGTGAAAATTAAGTGATCTACAGTTTTGTGGTTTGAATAATTTGCAAGCGGTTCAAATTTCATGGTTTTGGCAAAAAAGTTTTTTTTTGTGTGCAGATGGTCATACATAATTACAATGAAAATAAAGATGTGATCAACAGCATATGAATTTGTGACAGCTGCATTGCACTATTTTTAGCATTATTGAAATTTATTTTCTGTTGATCATGTATTTTTATTGTCTGGCTAAACCACAAAAACAACGAAAATTTGTGTTCTATGAAAATTAATGAAACCAAAGTACAATGTGGCCGAAAAACTTCAGACAAGTCAGGGTTGAATTTAATGAAGATGTAATAAAAGAAACATTGATTTATCATTCATTAGCATATTTGGTTCTGTCTTAGCAGAGGGTCATTTGTCCTTGACACACTTTTGTAAACCAACTTTTATATCCATGCCAAAAAAATCTGCATGATTTATGAGCATCTCCAGCCCAAGGATGTATCTTGTTTAACAGTTAATGATGTACGACACAGGAAACATTGATTGGAAATATTATGTGTCGCAAACTAGTTTACAGTATTGGCGATTTGTGGATTAAAAATGTTGTGTATAATTGTTGGTTTACAGTATTTTATGTACATTTTGTATACTCATTTTTTTCTGTGATTCTTTTACCGCATTGTATGTACTGTAAACAGTATGTTGCATATGTTTTGTTATTGGTAGAAATGCTATATGTATACGAGTCTTAAATCTTTTTACAATGTAAACAACAGATTTTGAATTTTAAAATTTTATTAAAAATGTTGAAGGAAGTCAAGCACAGTACAATTTTTGATAGCAGAATGAAATGAATTTTGAGTAAGATATGTATGTATATGCAAGAATGGGGTATGCAACCCATGAAATGTGTGTATTTGAAACTTATTTTCTGTGAACTTTTTTTTATTTTTGAAAATTAATTTATATGTACTTGTATGTTTTATTGGGCTAGGTTGATATCATTTATTAACAATATTACTCTTGGTATGTATTTTTTTTTTTTGTGGAAAGGGGAGGGGGGTGTCTTTTCTTACTAATCAGTTATAGCAGAAGCTAGCTGTGTTCTTTTGTAACCTTTCATGTAACATGTGACAAAGTACAATGTATTAATATTGTTAGTGTTGTATTTGTAAGTTCCACAACTTGAATGAGTTAGCAGTTTTTCTCCATTAATACTTGAATTCTTTTATCTTTTTTATCTTCAAAACCTTAAGACTCACAGCTTAATTGCTAAATGTCTTTTGATACTTCAAAAATTCAGAAACAAGAATTATTGATAAAGGAAAAATCATAACTCATTAAGGAACACACACTATGGAACCATTCTCTCACATGACACAATGTGTGCATTTTACTGTACAGATTTCTTTCAACCCATTTTCTTATAGAAAAAAAAAAGTGATGGCATATTATAATATGTGACACATGATATAACCATTCTTATATCATGATCACCAATAAAATGCTTGCTAGGGTTTGTCTAATACGTTGTAGGTTAGATATTCACCACATGGGAATGAAGCACCATAAAGTGTCAATGGGAGAAATTATAATGTCAATGTTACAGATATTAAAGTACTTGTATAACTGCATGTATGTATTAAAATACTTGCATGACATTGTATTTATTGAAATTCAGATTGATGAAATGAAAATGCTCAATATTTTTATCCATTCCCATAATCCCACTCCTATAGATTCCAAACTGACTAGGTTAGGCAGCTAAAAATAGACTCCACTTAAGCCGTTAAGTGGCAGAAAAAAGTGTACAGATGGAGAATGATTGTAACACATGTATTTCACTAGAAATTTCTGATTTTGATGTTTTCCATGTGTACACAATTTGTGGCTTTATGAATTGCTTTGAAAGCTAGTGTAAAATTTCTTTACACATACATGTATTGCATACATGTATGTGTATTACAAACATGCAAGTCTTGCACGATTTTCAAAGTTTTGAGGTTATACATAGTATGTTGCTGAAATAAATATTTATGTTGTGTAAATGAAAACCAAAGGTATTTCATTTAATTTTCTATTTCATGTGGAAGGATTCATACTATAACAGCAGAATGACATTTTTGGTGGTTTATTCCACATTCTGAACAGACATGTTTAAGAGTGTACACATGTATGATTGTTTGAAAAATTATTGCTAGATTTCAAGTGCACATTTCAATACATCTAAGTTAATGATCAGTAAATTTAAATATGTAGATCTAGGAATTTATAAAATCCACCTATCAAAAAATGATTGTGTGTAATTGTGGCATTAACATTGTTTTAGATATTTAACAGGTCACATCAAAGGTGTACAAAACTTAATTTTGACTGATTTGAGATGCAGTGATCAGTGCACAACGTGTACTTAGTTTGATTATAAAGAAATTGTCTCCAACAATCTCATTTAAAGAAAGATGACACATTAACACAATTTTTTTCAAACATAAATACATGTATATGTCACAATATATTCTATCATGACTTTTGCTAGCTAAAGAGTTACATCCCCTATATTCTATAATTCTCCAGTTTTGGAGGTACCAATGTCCAATGTTGGTCAATTTTTTTGTTAATGAACGAATTTCACAATCTTAAGAGTTATCTCCCGTTGTCAGCGTAACACTCAATTTTGTCACTATGTCCTTTGTAACTTACCTGTAAATATTTTAAACCTTCAAACAGAATCTGACAATTTTGACCCATTCCTGAATTGCCTTAGTATAGGGCAACATATAAAAACATAATGAACATATTCAAATGGATTTAATTTTTGAGACATTGCCCCAAAAAGTTGGTAATGTTATAGAGGGAAAACTGTCTTGCGCCGGTTGACCCCAGATTGACCCCGCAAAGGGAAATAACTTTCATAAATGTGAAATTTGTCTATTGTCATGCTCATGTACACTGTCCATCCAGATTGCTCAGTGGTCTATAAAGTATAATGGTTTAGTACACAGAAGATAAGGAGTTTGATTCCAGCAGGGTTTTAATATATTCTCCCATGATTTGTCTCTTAGAATTCTATCTTTTACTACATGTATGTACATGTACATCATGGTACATTATAATTTTTAAAGTTATGAATAGCAGAAAGCTATTTCATATCTATTCAGTACTTTACATCCTTTTTGAAAAGCTAGTTATTCCTAGAGATTCAAAGGCTTTTTGAACATTAAAAAAGTAACTATGTGAAATGATATGTCACACAAATGAATAAAGAGAATATTCTTTATTGTTTCAACATTGGCAGCTGTTAGGTACTAAAAATATGATTACAGTAAAATTAAAGAAAAAAAAAGTGAGAAATAGGAGGCACAGCCTTGTCTTATTCCATGTACTTGCAGTTGCAGTTACTAATGCCATCATAAAGATTATTGTCCCATTTAGTATTTCAACTTATCTGACAGTAAAATGGCAAGAAAGTTGTGTTTTTTTCTTATTATTGAGTATTGGATTTTTTACAAGGTTGAAATATGATCACTTGGATCCTTTTATAATCTAAATGTTATCTTGTTGGATTTTTTTGTGCTTTTTTCCTGATGATCAGAATTTTGAATAATTCCCGAGCTTGCTGACATAGGCCACACGGGTTTCTTTAAACGCTCTTGTTTAAATCTGCATAATGATATTATACATTCAAAAAGAGTGCAGTACATACCCACAAGGCTTTAATTTCTCTGTCAGTGTCTTCTTCATATAAAAGATGCTACAATAAGAGCACATAATTTCAGATCACACATTTTCAAAAAATGAATGTGCATAATGATTTCTGGCTGTGTGGCTCTACATATGATTTTCAGTAATGATATATTTTAAATGTTTTTTTTTTTGTTGAAAAAATGCTATGTAGTTCAAACAAGTCTTTTCTTTATAAGGTATACTATACATGTAGATGCTAAAGTTAATTAAGCGTCCCTTTCCATTACACATGTAATTGTACTAGGTTTAAAATTAATGAAGAGTTTTACTTAATTTGAATTAGTTTCAGCATGGAATATTAACTAGTATGTAATATGGTTAATATTCGTAGGTGATAAAACTAAGATTAAGGTATATTTTGTTGTCATTAACACACTGCAGTTACAAGTGCCTTGATTCATGTTAATATTTTTTTCCATACATTTATTAATGAAACTTGTATTTATAATATTGTAAATTTACAATCATGTTTTAAAAATTTCTAGTGAGCAGTATTTGTATATGCTGAAAAAATATGTTTTAAACTTTTTGGATAATGTTCATGCATTAGACAGAATATGAAAATCATCCTATTCTTTAAATTTGATGGCTAAAGTGCGATTTCTAGATAGGAGTCTGAAGAAAGGTTGGTTTCTGAATGGGCTTTTACCTACAAGATTCAGAAATTTTATTTATCATGTGTTTTGTGTACAATTTATACAAATCTTGTATCCATATGCATGTATAATACATACTGAATTATATAAAAGGCTGAATTTGAATAAAAATCTTCTTTTCTCTTTTCACAACTCAGAACAAGCTTCGGGATGAAGCTTGTCTAAACTGAGCAGAGATTGTCTGCTAGCTGTATGAGTTCTCGTTTTAGTGGGATTTTGGCTCTATTAATTATTTTATTAAATGGTCACCTGACTTTCTCTGGTGAATTATCGCAATAGCTGCAATGATGTAGCCCTCTCCGATTTTTTTATCTCCCCCCCCCCCCCAAAAAAAAAATCGGAGATGGCTGCCTACATTATTGCAGCTATTATCGCAATAGAAACTAACTTAGAAACTAAAAATTGGAGATGGCTACATTATTGCAGCTATTATCGCAATAGAAACTAACTTGGAAACTAGTCTGCAATTTACCAGGTAATTGTCTTGCATAAAATTTTGAACATTTTCACATCTGAAAATATTGAAACAGTTTTAACCAGTATTTGTATATGTAGGAAGGGGAATCAAAATGATGATTTTCATGTTCCAATGCCCCTATTCCCCTGGGGCCTGATAAAGGGACAGAGTCAAAATTTTTAAATTCAAGCAACCTTTAAAAAATTTGTATTTGAATGGTCCAGTATTTGACATATATAGGTCCTACGTTCCAGTATTTGACCTTCTCAGTCCCAACCCAGTGTCTGGGAATTAAAGCCTGAACCGAGAGGACATGAACTATACAAACTCGTTTGAGGGCTACATGTAACTGCTTATTATAAGTACTAGGGCCTATAAATACATGTACTTGCCAGTAAGGTATCAGTGCATGAGTACATGACGAGATTGTATACAAATGTTCAATGTATAATGAATAAAACCTCCAAAATTTGTGTCACATGGTCTTGGAGTTCCTGTCCCAGGTGGTGTTGAGTTTGTTTTATGTAGAGACCAGAGAGAGAGACTTGTGATATCATGACCATGAAGGCTGAACATCCCTAATCTGTGTAACCAAAGAGGAGCAAGATGCGACGGACTGAACCAGGCCCTCTGAATCTCCGGTCAGGTGCTCTACCAACTTGAGCTATCTGGCAAATGGAACCCATCTGTCCACCACATATGTGATTGCACTAATTTATGAATACATGTTCACTAAAAAAAGAAATGTTTGAGGAAGATATATGCCACATGTATGGCATACAAGAAAAGGAACAGTTCAAAGTTTAGAATGTCTCTTTGTAATGGAAAGTGAAAACAATTGGTCATTTACTAGTCAGGGGCAAACAAAGTTTGATCTATTTCAGACCTCATTATCAAATAGGGTAATATATTTTTTAAAAGGTACCAGCTAGTGTACCAAATTTGATGATCAATTGTAATGTAAATCGTGTTCAAAATATTGAGCAGACAATACCTTTAAGGTTCCGAGTAGTTTGAGTCTTGACCTTGTAACCTCAAAATCTAGGTGGTCAACTACTCCTTAGGGGAAACAAGTGTTCCATGTTTAATGTCTGTCAAGCCAAAGGTTCTCAAAATATTGAGTGGCCAATGTTCAGTTTGACCCTTATTGTTGTGACCTCATAATCAACAGGCATCATCTACTCCTTAAGGAGAACCAGTGTACCAAGTCTGATGTCTGTCAAGCATTCTCAAGAAATTGAACTGACAAGATCCTCTGTCTGAAGTAGTTTGACCCTTAACCTTGTGACCTCAAAATCAACATGGGTCATATGCTCCTCAGGGTGTACTAGTCTATCAAGTTTGATGTCTGTCTAGCAAAGGGTTTTTAAGATATTGAGTGGACAACACTTGTTCTACTGACTGACAAACAGACAGGTGAAAATTAAGCTGAATATGGGTGGGGGGTATAATAAGTATATAAACAGTAGTTGAAGAACTTCTATTACTTCTGAATCAGTGCATGTATAAATCACAATAGTTTTAGTTCCATTTCATTTTCACTCTGACTATTTTCTGACAACATACATGTACATATTAGGCAATTACAGATTACAAAGCACACCTCAACCTATATAATTATCTTAATGAACTTTAACTTTTTAGCCCATCTGAGCTGAAAGCTCTGTTGAGCTTTTCTCATCACTCATGCACTGTCTGATGTCCAACTGCCCATCCGTTTTTAAATTTTTCACATTTTCAACCTAGTCTCAAGAACCACAGGGCCATTCTTAACCAAAGTTGGCAAAGGCATCCTTAATTGGGATAAAGCAAGTCATATAAAGACATAGAATCCTAGAAATAAATCTCCTCCAATAACTATAACCTTTGTTGAGGTGAGCTAAAAGTGGACAAGTTAAATAAAAAATTATTTTCCATGTGTGTAGGTAAAAATACTGCATAAGCAGAATTTTTAGCAAGGATTCAATTTTGGCATTATTAGCGAAGATGTTGAGATTGCAAAAATTGCATGTCGCTAACAATTCATGCAACACTAAGTAGGTAAGGTTATCTTGCAAAATATTGTCAAATTGCTAAAATTACTTCTCACTAAAATTTTATACAGATTTTTATGGCTAGATTGCTAAATAAGTGTCTCGCTCAAAAAATTTACACAGTAATTATGTGAAAATTTTCCCAGTGTTCAATACTCTGTCAGAACTGTGGAAAGTTCTCAAATTGCACATTAGGCAAGGTGACAATTTTCCCAGAATTCAATACTCTGTCAGATCTGTGCAAATTTCTCAAATTGCACTTAAGCCAAGGTTTACAACTAAATCATCACAAAATATGTTAAACACATGTGCTCCATTTATTTCAAATAGGTCACAAAACTCGGTTTCACACAATACATTAAATATAAATATAATCAGATAGTCTGTATCTAAGGTGGTTGGTTAGCAATACCACCACCACCACACAATCAAGATGTCTGCTCAGAGAGGGCACTTGTTTTTTCTTCTTCCTGGGCCTGCTGTCTTAATATCTCTAGCTGTTTTTGAACCTCTTCCTCAAAGTGCTGAAAAATGGATCAATATCATAAATTGTTAATGCCAATTATGTCCTGTCATCTTTTGAGATCAACTTCAGGATAAGTAACACATTGTCAAACAAAAAATGATGCACAGAATTTTTGACCGATTTCAGCAAGAATGACACAAATAAAGTCCTAAAATATAAATTGTAAGTATTCTTTGGTGTTCAAAATTGAGACTGTCTGCTATTTTCTGTATAATATATACATTTTTTTTCACATGTACATTCTATGAGTACATTATTATCTTAAAAAAATTCTAATTTACTCTAGCAAAAATTACTGACAGAAGTTAATAGCGATTCTCTGTAACCACTTAAACTACTTTGCCACGCATGGTCACCGACTTTGATGAAACTTTGCCCATTATTACAACTTGACACCAGAAACATATATCAAATAAAATTTCGTTGCTATGTGTCTTGGTTGCCATGGTAACAGCCAGAAAAGTTGAAAAAATTGAGATTTTCAGCTACTTTAAATCTTTATTAAGCCTTAATGAAGACTAAGAAAAACAAACAAACCATTCTCCCAAAAACAAGACACCTTGTTGCCACTTATGCTATAAAGAAACTATTTAGAATTTATCTCTAAGTAAGTGGTAACCATGGGTACATTTGGAATACATTTTAGATGCTGAAAAATGCTGAAAAACGCTCTATAGTCACAAATGATAGATGTTAGATGATCAAACTCAATCAACAACGTAAGAAAAACAATGAAAAATATTTGACCTCATGTAATTAGGTATTGGCAATATTATTCTAAAAATAACTTTCATGGTTGCCATGGTAACAGAGTGTCACCATGCAAAATCTGTTGCTATGATTGGGTTAATGCTACTATCGTGAGGAAAAACAATAAAATTCATGACTGGCACATTTGCATCCTTAGGATCTTGCAACACCCACAACATAAGAAAAATTGAGATTGATTGTTACTTTGCAGTGTAACCATGGAAACAATGTACTAGTTGTTTAAAGTGATATTTTTTTGCTGCTCTAGGAATTTACTAACCTTTTAATCAAGAAAAATATTATTTGAATCACCTTGAATATACTTATCTCATAGAACTAAAGTTGAATATCATATATTGTTAAAGGTTGTTGAAAAATACAACACTGTTGCTATGGTTACCAAGAAGAGAAAATGTTCGATTTTGTTAATTTTTTGTCAATATTAGACCGTATAACCCAGCTTTTTGCATCCAGTTAGAGATTTGGTGATAGTCAAAATTGAAAGTCAGGTTAGTTGTTCACATACATGTATATCAATCATTAATTAAAAGTTTTGGGAATCTACATACAACGGTACGTATCCAAGGAAACAGAGTATTTTTCAGATTTTTATGCATGTTTTTTCACCTTATTTCCATAGCAACGCACTATTTAAAGAATTGAAATTGAATTTTTTGAAATGTGAAAATTAGGGTCACACCAATGCCTTTAAAAATTGATCATAAGTTATATAGAAAAATGCTTTTTAAAAAGATAGGATAAGATTAAAACACTAAGAGAGTAAATTTAAAATCCCTTCGTGGTATTAAAACCATGGCAACCATTGCCAACCTATAAGAAAAATCATATTTGGTCCTTGGTATATGTTGCAAGGATCTCTTCTCTATTATTTGCTTGCATGTCAACCTATAATTGTTGTTATTCTTAAGTGTACGAATTTATAAAATTAAATGAACAAAATTATTACTTTTGAATACTTTGTTTCCATAGTAACGTATGTAATAGTTGATTTACCAAACATGTTTATCATGCATTTAAGACACCAGGCCTTCAACTTTCAGAAACAGTCATTGCCATTTGTTTGCTTTGCTGCAAACGTTAACTGTTGGACTCTGAACATGTTGAAAAATGCCATTTTTCAAACTTTAGGACATGTTGCCATGGTAACCATGACACGTAGCAACCAATTTTTGCCTGATTTGAGTTTACGGTATCAAACACTTTTATCATAGAGAGTTTGGAGAAATTCTGAAACTATGCGTGCCACAACTCCTATATAAAAGTTCAAGTCATTACAGAGAATGGCTCTTAATTATCTATAAGAACATAATCTATTAGTAGACTTATTGCTGATTTCTGAAAAACAAGTTTGTATTATTTATCCTTTAAAAACAAAATTTTCATCATTATCAGATTCTAGCCTGTTTCCTACTGAAGCCATTTCAGCTAATGTTTTAGCTCTTCTGAGCCAAAGGCTCAAAGAGCTAATGCTATGGCCATTTGTGCGGTGTGCGTAAACATTTTAGAATATGGGCCATAACTCAAGAACCCCTAGGCCAATTATTGTCGAATTTGTCACAGGGTATCCTTGGCCCAAGGGTTCCCATTTATACTAAAACTAGGGTTGTGATTCTTAAACAAGGGGAGATAATTAGGAAAATAGAAACAAAAGTACTGGTTGCTAAAAAATCTTCTTCTCAAGAACCACTGGGCAGATTATCACTGACTTACACAAAAGGATGAGGATAAGTTGTAGATTAAAATTTGCACGGGGATTTACCCTGGGGCAAAGGGCGTGGTCTCAAGGTCACTTCAAAGTTGACTAAAAATTACATTTTATCAAAATGTTGATAATTTCCTTACTATAAGGACTAGGATCATCAAATCTTGTCAGTTGATGCATCTAAGGACCTCATATCATGTTGACTCAAAAGTAGGTCACAGTGATCTACTTTTTAAATTTTGCGGCCATTCTTTTTCTAAATGATTTAGAGGCATATTTTGAACAATTTAAGGCCTATGATTATCAAACTTTTTCAGTTGATGTATCTTGGGTCCCCAGAGTATGTCGACTAAAAAGTAGGTCACTTTGGCCTACATTTTGAATTTTATGGCTAATCTTTTTCTAAACAATTAAGGTCATTTATTCGAATACTGAGAGGTTTAGAATCATTAAATCTTGTAAGATGATGCATCTTGGGGCCATAAAACATATTTATTAAAAAGTTGGTCACAGTGACCTACTTTTTGAACTTTGCACACATTCAATTTCAAAGTGTTTTAGAGGCATAATTTGGACATTTTAAGGCCTATGATCATTTAACTTTGTAAGTTGATGCATCTTGGGTCCTCAAAAAACGTCAACTGAAAAGTAGGTCACCATGACATTCTTTTCAATTTATAAGACTATAATTAAATATTTCAGGTCGTAATTGGCTTAGAATCATCAAACTTTGTCAGTTGATGCATCTTGGATCTTCAGAGTAGGTCAACTGAAAAATAGGTCACCGTGACCTACTTTTGAAAATTTATGGCTTCAATTAAATATTTCAGGTACTAATTGGCTTGAATTCATCAAACTTTGTCAGTTGATGCATCTTGGGTCCTTGGAGTACGACAACTGAGAAGTAGGTCACCGTGACCTTCTTTTGAAATTTTATGGCTGTATTTAATATTTTTTGGTACTATTTGTCTTAGAATCATCAAAATTTGTCAGTTAATGCATCTTGGGTCCTCGGAGTAGGTCAACTGAAAAGTAGGTCACCGTGACATACTTTTCAATTTATATGACTATAATTAAATATTTCGGGTACTTATTTGCTTAGAATTATAAAACTTTGTCAGTTGATGCATCCTGGGTCTTTGGAGTAAGTCAACTGAAAAGTAGGCCACATTGACCTACTTTTGAAAATTTATGGCTTCAATTAAATATTTAGGAACTAATTGGCTTGAATTCATCAAACTTTGTCAGTTGATGCATCTTGGGTCCTTGGAGTAGGTCAACTGAAAAGTAGGTCACCCTGACCTAGTTTAAAATTTTATGGCTGTATTTGATATTTTCAGGTACTATTTGGCTTAGAATCATCAAAATTTGTCAGTTGATATATTTTGGGTCCTCACAGTAGGTCGACTGAAAAGTAGGTCACCGTAACCTACTTTTCAATTTATATGACTATATAATTAAATATTTCGGGTACTTATATAAATTGGCTAAGAATCATCAAACTTTGTCAGTTGATGCATCTTTGGTCTTCGGAGTAGGTCGACTGAAAAGTAGGTCACCATGACCTACTTTTGAAAATTTATGGCTTTAATTAAATATTTCAGGTACTAATTGGCTTAGAATCATCAAACTTCGTCATTGATGCATCTTGGGTCTGCATTGTTAGTTAACTGAAAAGGAGGTAACTTTGACCTATCTTTGAAATTTTATGGCTTTATTTAAATATATCAGGTACTTATTGGCTTAGTATCATCAAACTTTATCAGTTGATGCATCTTGGGTCCTCAAATTATGTCATCTGAAAAGTAGGTCACTGTGACCTACTTTTGAAATTTTATGTTTATAATTTTAAAAATATTTTAGGTATTAATTGGCTTAGAATCATCAAACGTAGTTGATGCATCTTGGGTCTTCAGAGAATGAAAAGTGATAAGAAGGTCACCATGACCAACTCTCAGGTACTTATTGGCTTAGAATCATCTTGGGTTCTCAGAGTGTTTCATTTATAAAATGTAGGTCATGATGACCTACCTTTGGAATTTCAAGGGTTTATCTAAATATACAGGATATTTAGAAGCTTCAAATAGAAGTGATAGGTATTACAGTTTATCAGAAGAGTGATTCAAGGCCCTTGGGTTTCTTGTTCAGTAATATGAAGGATAAACAGAGCATGTGTTGTGTAGGAATGGGTATCACCAAACATTTTGTATCGTGATATACATTTATCACAATTTTTTCCAAAATATCATGATATTTTTACATGCAATTTTTACAAAAATTTTAAATGAATATTCATAATTCTTCCTACAAATATGCTGGAAAAACATAACTTCACTTTTTTAGCATTTTTTTATTTATTAATTTTTATGTAATATTAAAAGCAAGTCTGGATGCTAGCTGAGGATGCTGTTCTTTTACCATTTTCAACACTTTCTACACTTGTAATTGTGATCTGAAAGTTTGAACAAACTAGAAATCTGACCAGTCAGCAAGGGCCCCGCTGAGGGTTAGAAATACATGTATAAGGGTGAAGATTAGGGGATAAGAATTTTACTTGATTACAAAAATTTAAAAATATATAAAGAAGAATAAGCAACAGCAACTGCTAAATATCCAACAACCTGTAAATAGTATCCTTGTATTTACATAAGGCAGTAAAAAAAATAAATCAATTAAATGTATATTTAAAGAAGAATGGAGCATGTATTTTCTAAAATGCCAACCTTCAATGAATGCAAATATCGCCCAAGCTTGACCTTAACTTCAAAACAAACATCAGTTGCACCGACAAAGGTGTAAATTGATCTTAAAATGACAGAAAGATAACCCTCTAAAATTTTATGGAAGCAGCAAGAAAATCAATCCAAGGGGATTAATTATACTGCTCTCTCAACCTTTTCTTCTACGTTTACACAAAGAACTTTTTCAACAATGATAGAATGAGGTTATTATCTGAATACCTGTTAAAAAAAATAGTATTCTTGAATTTACATCAGGCAGAAAAAGAAAAAGAAAGAAGATATCTTTATCTATATCTTATTTTTAGAATTCAATAAAATCATAACTCATTGTTTTACCAAAATAAAGTATGAACATTATTTAAATCCACATTTCAGAGAATGTAAACATCATTCAGAATTGACCATCAAAACAAACTTCATTTGCAGACAGAGGTGTTAATTAATCTCAATGTGACAGATAAAGATAAATGCTTTGGATTTTCTTCAAGAGGAAAGTTAATTAATCCCAAGAGACTCATTGCAGCCTTTCATAGTTTACAATAGGAACATTCTCAGCAGTTTTCTCTCTTTGCCCATTCACTTTTATATAAAGTTAAGGAATCTACCCCACCACCCCAGCTCCAAACCGGACATAGAGAACCAAACTTAGCATCAAAATATGTCTTACTGCCTATTCAACCAACATACCAAATTTGAACTTAATTGGTCAACCCTAAAAATAGTTATTAGAAAAAAAATTTGTGGACGGAAGAATGACAGACGGACAGCTAGACAGACAGACAGAGTGATTACTATAGGGCACCCGCAAATCCTTGCGGGGCCCTAATAAATGAATAAGTTCTGGAATTTATAATTACATGAACGTAATCACACAATAAAAAATCATGATATACTGATAAAATCGCACATCCCTAGTATTGTGAATGCAGTAATATTTATATTCTGCAAAATAATTAGCTAACTATATATATACTGTCTGGAAGCATACAAAAGTAGAGTTTAACCTGTTTAATCAATATGTACTAAGAGACAAATTTTGTGTCTGAGTAGACAGGGTGTCGGATTACAGTGTAAAGATTGAACAATGAAAATAGTAAAAAGGGGAATGAAAATATTGAAGATTAAAATTCACATGAGTGGAATGGATTGCACAGTGTCAGATATCGAATTAGACAGCTTTAACTGTATAAATTTTCTGAAAGCTCTTATTATGAAAATACTTTTTCTGTAAATTATAATAGTATAATTTTCAGATTGCAATAGCAATATATTTAACCTCTGGCTCAATAATATTTTGTCAATGAGTAATAAAAGAAAATTTGTACACATAATTTCTTTATTTATTCACATGCATTTTTCTCATTACTGTACAAATGAAGTAAACATAAACAGTCCATTGCTTTTCATAAATTTTAATATAAAACAATAATTTCTGCTTCAAAGATATTTTACTGAAAAAATATCTGGGAATAATTAAAAGAAAAAACAAGAGGCCCATGGGCCACATCGCTCACCTGAGCAATGTGGCTAGGAAAAAAATAGCAAAAACCAGTTCAGTATTGAAAAGCTTAAATGCATAAGTGGTCCTGACCTACCCCTAAAACAGGGGTGGGGGGTGGGGGTGGTGGTTTCATGATTGGAACAAAATTGAATCTACACCACCTGAGGATGCTTCCATATAAATAATATGACCAATTAGAGCTTTGCTTCTTGAAAAGAAGATTTTTTAAAGATTTTTCCTATATACATGTACTTCTATGTTAAATTTTGATCGTCCTTTGTGGCCCCACCCTACCCTTGGGGGTCATAATTTGAACAAACTTGAATCTACACTACCTGAGAATGCTTCCATATAAATATGAGCAATCATGGCTTTGCTGTTCTTGAGAAGAAAATTTTTCCTTTATATTCCTATGTAAAACTTTGATCATCCATTGTGACCCACCCTAACCCTGGGGTCATGATTTGAAGATTTTTCCTATATATTCCTATGTAAAACTTTGATCATCCATTGTGGCCCCACCCTAACCCTGGGGGTCATGATTTGAACAAATATGAATTGACACTACCTGATGATGATTCCACATAAGTTTCATCCTTCCTGGCCCACTGGTTCTCGAGAAGAAGATTTTTAAAAGATGCCATTAATTTTTCACTATTTGGTAATTATATCCCCTTGGAAAAGGGTGTGGCCCTTCATTTGAACAAGCTTGAATCCCCTTCACCCAAGGATACTCTGTGCCAAGTTTGGTTGAAATTGGCCCAGTGGTTCTGGAGAAGAAGATGAAATTGTGAAAAGTTAACGACGACAGACAACAGACAAATTTTGATGAGAAAAGCTCACTTGAGCCTTCTGCTCAGGTGAGCTAAAAACTATTGTACTTTGTCTTCATGGTGCATTTCAGGGAGCTAAGATCACTTTAGAAAAATTATATTTGGTCTTGGTCATAAGTTCTTTTGTGAAACAGGGCCCAGAATTCCTCTGGCTGTGTATGAAGCCAATTAAAAAATCTTAATTTGACAGTTCAGGACCAATAATTCCATTACAGTACTGATGATTATGTAAAATAAAGTCATTTTTTAAAATGCTTTTCATCTATCTCATATACTTTTTTTAAATGATTATAAACCAAAAACTAAACAAATAAAAAAAAATTCCAATATCTGGGCCTATAACAGTCACTCTCATGTATATATTCAAGATCAAACATTAAGGAAATTCTATACACAGCCTCATCATGCTATTTGATGTTATATACAGTTACTTTATTCCTATAACATTTTTTAAGATAATAGTAACTACATAAATTGGAAGAAATTGACATTTGGGGGCCCTTTAAATAAGGACCACTAATTTTAAAGAAACTTGCTAAATAGCTAGATCTTGCAATCCTGCTACATTTGTAGATTCCGTCAATCTGCTTGCTTTTATACTTATAAGACAATGAAAATGGATTATTCTCATAAACTGACGTAACTTGTAGAGAGAACATTACAGACATGAAATATTTACAATAAAGCATGCTTAAAAAAAAAAGAAAAGCAGTGAAAAAAAAGACAATATATAAGTCATATATAAATCAAAAGAGCCAACCCAAAAAGTTTGCAGAGATCTTGGCAAAAAAATAATAATTATTAAATACATGTAACGGTACATATGTAGTAGTATTAAAAGTGACCTTCATTTTTATTGGATCAAAATGAAGAGTGGATTATTTGTATTGAGGACAATTATTCAAATCAATACTATAAGTATTAAGGATCAGAAAAAAAAATCTGTCCAATAGTTTCAGAGATACAGATGATATAAAATATATTTAGTACGTCATAAAATAGAATGTGATGAAGAAAGATCATACATTTATATATAAGGCTGGGACGATATAACTTTTTCTATATCGATATGTATCATGATATTTGAGCCACGATACGATACATATCACAATATGTTGAATTGGTTATAAAATCTTTTTTTGTGTTGAAATCTTCACAAATAAGAATAATTTATTGAGAAATTAAGTTGTATATTTGTTTTAAAACAAAATTATTTTACACAAGTGGTGTTAATTATTATGTATTTTATATATATATTCATATTTAGCATATTTATTTTATTATTATAATATTAAATCTAAAATGTTAAGTAAACAAAGAAAAACATAAGTCAGAATATTTTTTGCTATATTCTTTATACGTATCGATATGCCTATCGTCTTCACAAAGAATCGATATTATCGATATCTCGATATATTGTCCCAGCCCTATTTATATAATTATGTTTACTTATATAATACAGACCTAATAAAACTAAACATGATTAATGAGACATTGTATGGATTTATCTAGTCAATTTTTAAAAGACTGAAAATAATTTTTGAAATGTGCAGATTTAAAACTTTGTAGCTTTAAGTGAAATTTTAATAAATCTGGCAATTCATTCCATAACTGCTAGCCATAAATTGTAAAAACTTTTTTTAAAATACATTGTTTCTCAGCCTTTAAATACACAATGCACTGCTTTGGCTAAAAATAGTAGATCTACTTTTTATTTCATAAAAATATTTAAAACATCTATCAAATAAATTTGGAGATGATCTATGTAAGACTTTGAAAACAAGAATGATATTACTATAAACCAAGTACCATATAATAGCAGGTTTTTTTAGTGGGTGTAATAGTTGGGATTTTGCTTGCTCAAAGGTATGCCAATATCGCTTTCCATAAAGCATTTTTCATTGGTGTATAGAGGGTCCGTAATCAATTATAATTAATATATAAAACAATTATGATATAAGCAACCTATGGAAAATATCCAAAATGAACACATATAATCATATTCAAGATTCCTCTCTATTTCACATTCATCATTCTTGTAAAGTGCTTTGAGCTGCACTCTAAGTGCACAGGAATGCTACATTGTCTGCAACCAAATTTTGTCACACCTTTCCTCTGACCCTGAGGTCCAGAAAGTGAACACTCCCGGCACACTTTGTTCTTAGGAAACAACTTCACAATATTAATATCATGAGCTGTGGCTCTGCCCCCACAGTCAACTTTTGGTGGTTCCCTCCTTGCCCTTGTGTCACCAATGAGGTCTTCCACAATATCCTCGATGAAATCTTGGAAACCAGGCCATTTTTCTCGTGCAATTTCAGGGTGAGTGTCCTTGGCAACAATGTATGCATTGTGGGCCGATGCCATCAAAAGGTGAAAAAATATGCAACGCCACCATTTCTTGGACCTGTGGTTCAGTAGGTAATATCCTACCATTTGATCACAAAGATCCACTCCTTTCATATTACGCTGGTAGTCAGCCACCATCAATGGAACCTCCACAACACCACTTTCAGATGCTCGTCTGGATACCTGACCACGGTGGATTGGGTCGTGGAAGTTGGAAATGACAGTTATGGGTTTTGTGTCTTGCCATACACAGTATGTCAAGCTGTCCTTTTGTGCAACCTTAAATTCGTGTTTCTGAAGGTTCACTTTGCTGGGTAGCAAATCTTTTGGAAGTCCCTTCTGATTCACACGTACAGCTCCACATGCCATTATTCCTTGTGAGTGAAGGTTCTTCAGGAGTTCTGGACTTGTGTAAAAGTTGTCCATGTAGACACACAAGTTGGACCCAAAATAATGGTGGCACAGGTCCATTACAACTGTGTGAGCAAGTCCTTTCTCTTGGTCAATTTCCTTTCCCGTGTAAATTTGGAATCTACTTAAGTAGCCAGTCTCACTTTCAGCTAGCGCATAAACTTTCACCCCCCTTTTTACAGACCTTTTTGATGAGTACTGCCGAAAGGATAATTTTCCCTTGAATTTAATCATACTTTCGTCCACAGTTGCATTTCCGTAGGGTACATATAGTTCTGTAAATTTTGTATTCAGGAATTCTAAAAGCCAACGAATTTTCCAAAGTTTATCCGGTGTCTCTGACTTAACTTCATTATTTTGGATATGTAAATACCTCCAAATTTGAAAAAATCTGTCCCTGGACATTACTTTGTTGAAATTTGTAGAAAATATCCACTTAGACTGCCTCCAATAATCAGACTTATCTGGAAGTCTCAGGATCCCCATGGAAAAACAAAGTGCTATAAAGACTTTGATATCATTCATCTCAACTGGCCTCCAAGGACGTCCTTTTGAAGAGGATGAGTTTTTTTCTTGCTCCTGGTGGGCATAATTATTGGTTTCTTGCATTAATTTGTCGAGCAGTTCGTTGGTCCAAAAAAGTTCCAAATACTGCCCAGCGGATGCCTCTGCTGGGTGTACAACTGTTGCGCCTGCAGGTTTTTTAAATGGATTTCCTAGACGCGGATAGAAATTTTCATACACCCAATTGTTCTGATATCCACAGAAATCAGCATCTTCTTCATTTTCTTCCAAGAAGTTGACCTCACCACCATTTATTTCTGGATCAATTTCACCCACAAAATCATCTCGCTGATCGTCGTATTCTATTTCTATGTCACTTCCGTCACTCAGTCCTTCATTTCTCTCCGCCATTTTGAAATTGTTCCTACTAAACACAGAATCTTTAAGAATGATCGCGTCAGTTGCCTCAGTTCGCAGGCACCTGAAATTTTATCAATAAATTGCAAATATAGGCCCAGTTGGAAAAATCTGACCCCCTCTTTATGGTTGGGGGAATGAGAAACTTACAAATGCCTTGATAGATAAGCTATTTCAATAAACATGCTTGGCAGCAAAATTTTGGATATCTGCTGTACTAATATTAAGTACACATTTATATAGGTGGGACAAATGCTCAATTTTTTTTTTAAGGGGGGGGGGGTCCACTTGTCTAACTCAGAATTTTTTGACAATCAAAAAAAATCCAAACAAACACATAAACAAACCTTGTGGGGTGGGGGTGTAGAAGATACTTGCCTTAGTCAATTTTCTTGAAATACATGAGTCATATGTATATTAAAGTTCCTGTGAACAAAATGTGGTTGTGAAAACTTACTTTCAGAGGTTGGTAGTACATATGAACACACTGATTTCCTACAAACATCCAGAAGAAGGATTTGGCAATTACTGTAAATCTGTACTTTGTAAAATATTCAGCAAGCATCCCCATATCTGAAAAAAAAGCTAAATAATGAGTCGTTATAACCATGATACTAATTATTTCAAAATGAATAAAAAGATCAACATTGAATGTGGTTATATATAATTATAAGCATAATGATAAAAAGTCTCAAACAAGACTGTAGCTCTACTGATTTGTATTACAAAGGAAAAGAAAAACCTGGACTTGAAACTTAGTGACTTTGACATCACTTACAAACAAATAATGATCCTTGGTGAAGTTTCTAATCATATACTAAATTTTGTTAAATTCAGACCAAAACTGTAGAAGGAATATAATGTGGAGGGTAGGGGTCCACCCGGAATAAGTAGTGCACCCTACAACACTTGGTCACGCAGTAACCATAAAACTTGGTTACTGTCCTTAACTTAAAACCTTCAAGGATTAAGACATAAAAATGTCTTTTCCTGTCTTTATTACAGGACTATGTACATTATATATACACATCTAAGACTGGGTCTGCCAGCTGTTTGCCCTAACTCAAGCTAACTCTGCTCTCTCTATCTAACTGCTTCTAAACTACTACTCTTTATTCAATATATATTTTGTTTTAGAGTAAATCTAGTAATTATTTGATTTACTCAAATTGGCTTGTCAATGATTGAGTAGGTGACATGAACAGGTAGGGCATTAGATTAACTAATTACACATCATTAAGGATTAATAATAATGTGATAGCCAAGCCATCTGGTAGACCTTAATACTGTATCAATTATTTAACTTTGACATCAACAGAAATTATTGTAAATTAAGGGAAATAAGTTTTCTAAGTTTACATTTTTTATGACCCCTAACCTTTTTGTTATTGGCTATAGTAACCTTCTGTAGAAAATCTTACATTATTCTTATTTTAGCAAAATTGCTCATTGAAATTTAAAAACTGATACATAACATCTATAAAGCATTGTGTACCCTGGTCTTGTACACCTACATGTATGTTTTTAAGTTTATTTAAACAATAAAATGCTTTCTTTGGTTGTTAGTACAGGAATTAATGTCGCAGCTGTCGCAGAAAAAGTACATAACCCACGTAAGTGGGTTATGTAATTTTTTTTGCAATAGCTGCGACATTAATTCCCACATTAACAAACAAAGAAAGACATTTTATTGTTTATATTTATATCTGTATAAAAAGTCATATAAAGTAAAATTAGATATGCTAAATGTTGTATTATAGATGTGTATGTCATTGTATGCATAATTGATGGAAGAGCCGTTGCTCAAGAAATCTATGCAGGTGGCATTCTCAGTGGCGTTTACTGACTGATAAGTGGCAATGGTGTTCATAAGAAATAAAGAAAATAATATACAGTGAATGTAAATATTTATGAACATCAGACCAAACATATATTTGAGAAGCAATGTTTCAAATTTTAAATGAGAAAAAAACTTTTTATTTTTCATACCACTTCAACATTGTTTAAAAACCAATAAATAGAATAATGTATCTTGGTGCACTCCAATTGTGAATCAAGTCTAGAATTCTTTAAATGAAAAAAAACTGTTGGAGGAAAAGCATATAGACAGACATTAGGAAAGAAAAAATGGAAGGCCATGTTGTAAGATCAAGAACTAGATGGGTCGAGGAAGGGGAGAAACCCACAAGGTATTTTTGCAACTTGGAAAAGCGTAATTATTTAAATAAAACTATTAAAAAACTGGAACTTGAGGAAAACTGTAATATATATGACCAAGCAAGAATACTTAATGAAGTAAAAATTTTCTACCAAAACCTTTATGCAAATAAGGACTCTGAACTCCTAGACTTAGACCTTGAAAATATTATTAAAAATCATGACATTCCAAAATTAGATAAACACACTTCAGAATCAATAGAAAAAAAAATATCTGAAGATGAAATCTTTGAAGTTTTAAAAAATATGAAAAACAATAAATCCCCAGGAAGTGATGGTTATACAGTTGAATTTTTTAAATTTTTTTGGAAAGATCTGAAACAAATTATATGTCAGTCAATAAATTGTATCTTCGTCAAAAAGGAGCTCCCTATTTCTCAGCGATTGGGAATTATTTCATGTTTGCCAAAGGGAGACAAACCTAGACAATTTTTAAGAAACTGGCGACCCATTACACTATTGAATGTTGTTTACAAATTAATCTCAGGTTGTCTAAGTTTTCGAATTAAATCCACATTAGACTATCTTATTTCAGATACTCAGTCAGGATTTTTAAAAGGAAGATACATCAGAGAAAATACAAGATTCATTTATGATTTAATGGAATATACTGACCGTAAAAATATACCTGGATTACTAGTGTTAATTGATTTTGAAAAGGCATTTGACTCAATTTCTTGGACCTTTATTTATTAAGTATTAAAATTTTTTGGCTTTGGTGAATATATAATTGAATGGATTAAGATTCTAAACACAAAATTTAAGGCTTCAGTGTTACAAAGTGGGTTTTTATCTGATCAGATTGACATTGAGAGAGGATGTAGACAAGGGGACCCTGTCGCACCATATTTGTTTCTTCTTTGTGCTGAAATTCTTGCAATCTTAATTAAGCAAAATAAAAATATAAAGGGTATCTCGATAAGTGACAAGGAACATAAAATAAGTCAGTACGCTGATGATACATCTCTTGCTCTTGATGGTTCACCTAAATCTTTGTTTGCTGCCTTGGATACCTTAGATTTTTTCTCAAAAATATCTGGTTTAAAAGTAAACAGCTCTAAAACAAAAATAATATGGATAGGCTCAAAAAAGTTTTCAAGTCAGGTTTTTCATCATTCTAGATGGAAACTCGACTGGGGGTCCACAACTTTTAACTTATTAGGTATTAACTTTTCAGTTGACTTACAAAAAATTACAAATTTAAACTAGATGCTGTCATGAGACAGTAATACCCGCACTAAGGTGTTTGCCTCTAAATGCACACTCCTTCATATTGGGCTTACCAAGGAAAAAGTCCAAATAATTCTATAATTTACACAGTACATGTATTCGTCAAATCGAACATAAAATGCTCTGGTGACCATGTGACCCATGAACCTCTTATACGCATTTCATATACTTAATTCATTACCAGTCTGAAATAACAGAATTTAATTAATGATGTAAATTAGGTTTTGATAAAAGGGGGGATATAAATTTTTGGCCCATAATTGGAACTTTTTAAATTTATTTTCTCAACAACAAATAATATTATTTTAGTACAAAGCGTTTTTGATGAATTTATCAAAATGTGCAAACTTTTTTTAGTATTTGATTAGGCAAAAACCTCCTTTAAAAGCCATACCTGATCAATTTTGTCACCCCCCCCCCCCCCAACACACACACACAATTTGCCTGTTTTTGGAAATAGGCTTAGATGGCAAAGTTATGTTAAAACATCGTTTGTTATGATAATTTAAAATTTGTTCTTGTACTGTACATGTATGTGAACACCTTTTTGAAAATTTCTAAATCACACTGGGCTTGCGTCACCCTACCAGTACTAGTACTAGTTTTACCATTATCATTTTTAGATTGCACATGCCATGTGACATGGTGCAGTGTTACATGTATATCAGTGGAAATTAATTCATTTTGTGTTTTAATTGGATTATATTTCATGAAGTTGACAGGACCTATGACAGTCGGTATATAAGTACAAGTTTAAGTATAGATTGGGGTAAAATAAACCGAAATGCAAATGGTTAGGTTAAAGTTTAAAAAGGATCGAAGATCGTCGGCAATCTCCTATGCAGAATTGTCGTTCGTTTCTCTCTCAGACACTGAATGTATGAGCCGATGGTAGAGAGTGGATCATCGGATGCCACAATAGACGAATTTCACATTCTGAAGAGTTATCTCCCGTTGTCGACATTACATTCAGTTACAGGCACAGATCCGGGAATTTTTTTCCGGGGGGGAGGGGGGGGGGGGGGTCCACACCTCGGTCCAAAAAAATTCCAGCCCAGAATTTCCTGAGGAGCAAAAAAAAAAAACAAACAAACAAACAAACAAAATAAAAACAATGATGGTGGGGTCCATGTTTTTAAAGGGGGAGGGTATCCAAAGTCATTTTTCATTTGCTTCTGTAAATCAGTACATAGTCCTATTTAAATAACTCTGCAAATTCCGGGGGGGGGGGGGGGGGGGGGTCCAATCTCCCTAGCCGCTCCCTGTCCCTGAAATGACAAATGATCTTGTGACTCCTATATAGAATAGAAACTTTTCCATATGACTATACATAATTTTGTTTCTTGTGTATTATGTTATGTACATCTAATGGTTTAAGGTTATGAACCCCTGGAGGTCATCCCCACTCTCTTAATGAACTGGAAATGTTCATAATATGACTACATCAAATTAAATAAAAGTGCATCAATGATAAGATTACTTGACATTTCATTCATGATATTGGGTCAACCCATGTACCCTCCTAGAATTAGGAATGAAAATCATTCAGAGAGATGGACCATTAAACTATTTGTATATATTCACATTTTTTTTATGTCAAACCAAAGTATTAGACTAGTTTGCATACATGAACAAACAGGGGTCTGGGAAGGGGAAGGGGCAAGGGGAAGGAGTTATCTCTTTGCGTCTTAATTGTTGAAAATTCCTAAAATGAATGTTAACCTCAAATCTGACTCGTACGTCTTCATTATTTTGAAGTGGTGGTGTCTCCGTATGAGTGAAAAATTCCCAAGAGGGACATTTGTAACTCTTTCCAAGTACTCGTGATCATCAGTTTTTAGCTCACTTGAGTTTTTCTGGTTTTCTGATCAAATTTTGTTTGTCATCCATCTGTCCGCCTGTAAACTTTTCACATTTTTGTCTTCTTCACTAGAACCGCTGGGCCAATTTCAACCTACCCTGCCACAAAGCATCTTCGGGTAAAGGGGATTCAAGTTTGTTCAAGTGAAGGGTCACACCCTCTTTCAAGGGGGGATAATCAAGAATTAGTGAAAATTTGGTGGTATCATTTTTAAAAAGTCTTATCAAGAACCACTGACTGGGCCCAAAAAGTTGAAACTTTCTTT